GGAGCCCGTGGTGTGTCAGACACTGTGGGCTCCTGATGCCCTTGTAATTCGGCTGGTGCGGATCAAAACCCATCGGAGTGGATTCCCCACAATCACCCCCCCCACATCATCATCTGGCCGAGCAATAAAGGGAAGAGATGAGGCGGATGCAGGGAAACAGAGAGAGCTCGTGTATATATAAAAAAAAAGCAGAGAAATGATCAGTGCCTTATAAATTAATGCAAGGATCCAGAGGCATGAAGGGGAAAAAAAAAAACAAGACACAGCCCATATACCATCGACAAACTGCTGGAGTGTGTGTGTGTGTGTGTGTGTGTGTGCCTCGGTGTGTGACTGGACAGCGTGTTAAATCTAGGACGGTGTAAAATTGGGAATAAAAAATACATATAAAAAAAATATGGGGGTGAAATGCTGCCACCCTCACGTTTCAGACATGGCACATGGCTGAGAAAATCTCCTCATTTCACAGCAGATATAAAAACGATCAGATGGTTTCAGTGATGAATGGGAACAAAGATGTGCCCCACGGACATGGGGGAGTGATGGGAGGGGGGGGTAAAATAAACAGCATCATTAGGTTAACTCACCTGCTTTTACAGAGGCTGAGACGCGCTCCGTCCCCACGTTTGCTCCATACCATAATAACCCGTCTGTTCGCCTCGGCTGCTGCATGTGATGAAGACAATGGAAAAGGCTGTGAATGTGAACGTGAAAAAATATGTCCCCCCCCGGTGTCGGTATCAGAGGCGCGGATCTTTTACTCTTATCTGCTGCTGGTGCACGGTCCGTGTGCTTTGCGCATTCACGACGCCAAGGTCAGGAGCGCCCACTGCCAGCGCGTTACCAGGCAACCGCCGGGATACGCCAGTGTATTAGATTCAGCCTCCGACATCCGACAGCATCCCAATTTAGAAACCATTAACTAACCACCTTAACTCCGGACAGCGCGCTCGTGCACGCGAACTCACGCACGCACACGCCTCTGGTATGCGCGTGCACGGACAGACAGAAAAAAAAACACACAACAACAAC